CGTATGATTAACAAGAAAAGTTCGGAAAAGTCAGAATATATTAATTACAAATAATTAACCTTATTAATTTATTTATTATTTATAAATTAATTATCTAACTTTTATATTAAGGATAAGAGATATTACGTTCATTTTTTAATATAAAGTCAATTAACTAATTTGATCAGATTAAAAAATTAATTAAGTTATTTATTTGCAATAAACAAGTGTTGTATTTCATAAAATGTCCTTGTTAATCAGGTGTATTAGCTAAAACTATTATTACTCAAGAACTAGCTTGGAAAACTAATTGATAAATATGAAAGAAAAAGTAAATTGAGGTCTTATGTTTATGATAAAAATAAAAGTGAAATTAGTTTTTATATTAAGGATGGAGGGAGTAATATACTCCCTTCAACCCCATTTATAAGCTTCAAATTTGAGAATGAGTGTGGTTTATTTTATTAGTTTCAATTTAACGTTGTCTTAACATTCAATGTATTTTTTTAAGTTATCCTTAATTATTTTTCTGTTATTACATTTTTCATGTATTCTCTTTTATTATTTTTTTCATTTATTATAAGAGAATATTTAAAAATAAAAGTTTATTTTTAATTTATTTGTCATTTTTAACTAATTAAGACTAATGGTTTGCTATTCATAAATTAATTATTTAAAGTCTATAACAAGAAGCCATTGGGTATTTTTGGTGGGTGGCGGAAGAAATGAAAGGAAGAACAGTTGTGGGTTTCTTTTGAGTCATACGGTGAATTGATTGCGGGAGTAATGGGACCATTTAATTATGAGACATTCATTATTAATTGCGTCTTAAGTTATACAGTAAAAAGAAGAAAAGTCATTCCTGTGTCCACTTAATTCGGATGTGTAAATAATTTGGGCCCCCCGGCGGGGACTTTAATGTACGAAGCATGAAAAACGAGCCTAATGATTAGTGATGCAACCTCGGCATTTGATTCGGAGCAGTGAAATTATGTGCTTTTCGTGAAAAGCATGTGTTAGAATTTTTTTGTTTTTTTGGGGGGGTGGGGGGGAGAACATTTCGTTGGTGGGGCGAATGGTCACTGCCTTAGGTAGTGCGCTTACGGTTCCTGCAACATTAAACAGACGTCTCAATCTCATGCACAGTGTATAGCGTAACATAAACGGAATCGAAATAACGAGGTCGTAATTTTGAGTTCGGCACAAAATATGTTTTCTTGTGCTTTTAAATGAAAAGAAAAATGACGAAAATAAATATTCATCGCTGAGTATGGATGTTCAGAAAGCCAGCCTAATCATCAAGCCATATAGTACCAGCCTGTCCCAACAAAATCCTTTTTTATAAAAAAGAATATTAATCAATTTTATACGTCTGACTTTGTTGATTTATTGCGAGATGCAAGTTGATTTTATAATTATCTGAAATTTTAATTGACTTATTATTTTATTAACTTAATCCACATAAAAATAAGGGAAAATTTCGTTCAAGGACCGCAGTACAGAATTAATTTCAAAGAGCCCCCAAAACTTTCTGAAATTTCACTGCAGGACCAAGGGGGCAAACTGATATTAATTCCACAAAGAAAATGACCCTATTGCCCCTCATGTGAACAAGTATGGGAGAACCCATTTGCAAGTGAGGTTAGATAATTTACAACATGCATAGATATATTTACAATTAAAATTAGTCCATTTACATATTACCTTCTTCACCTGAAGAATGTGTCTAAGTAAACAAGTGTGGGACAGCCCATTTGCAAGTGGGACTAGACAATTTGCAACATACATATATTTATTTACAACTGGAATTAGTCCATTTACATGTTATTTCCTTCACCTGAAAAAGGTCTCCGTGAGTGAACAAGTGTGGGAGCGCCCATTTGCAAGTGTGATTAGTCAATCTGCAACATACATACATTTATTTACAATTAGAATTAGTCCATTTACATATCACCTCATTCACCTGAAAAAGGTGCATGCGAGTGAATAAATGTGAGAGAGCCCATTTACAAGTGGGACTAGTCAATTTACAACATACATACCTTTATTTACAACTGAAATTAGTCCATTTATATGTCACCCTGCAATAAGTATTATGAGGGTATGTATGTAAAATATCCGTACTAATCAAATATATTAGTACATTAAAAAAGCTAGTTAAGTTAATTCTTTATAATAATTGAATATTATCTTTTCTAAAATATCTGTACTAATCAGATATATTAGTTAGAATTACCATTACAAAGCTACCTTTAAAAAAATGGATAAATATGAGAGATAAAATAGATTATAATCTTATATTTATGATTAAAATAAAAGTTAAATAAACTTTTATATTAATAACAGAATGTAGTATATAACCATGGGATTATTTATTCTTGCCAAAAACCGTGGACTGCGGAGTGTTTATAATGCATATCAACATCAAACTCATAGATAAGCCATGTTATTTATGATAACATAGCACTGCGTATCTGAATTTATTCATAAAACATAAGAATCTTTAATATTATATTACATCCGGTTCTTAATATAAAAGTTTGTTTAATTTTTATTTTAGTTCTAAATATAAGATTCAAATTCACTTTCTCTTTTATATTTATTCATTTTTTTTGAAATAATCCTTGTAATAATAGTAGTTATAGTTAATGCACTTGATTAGTAAGGATATTTTAGAAAAGATAATTTTTATTCATTGTAAACAAATAACTTAACTAATTTTTTTAATCTGTTTAAATTAGTTAAGTAACTCTTATATTAAGAACCCGGTAGTATCCCCCCTAATTTACATATAATTTATCCGTTTTTTTAGCTTCCCTGCGACTTAAAAGGCCTTCAAGGGAAATTGGGCCGGCAAGTTTAGTAGCTCAGGCCGCCATGGCTTAAGTGGGCCCGCTTGAAACCATACCTAACACCTAAGCCGTTAACTTCGGCTCCGCGCCAGCTGAGAAAGAACGGCAATGGGTTGTTTGATCTCGTTAAATGAAACGGACTCCTCTTTTTTTTTCCTGGTTAAGAATAAAAATAATAAATAATATAATATTTATCATTTTTTTATTATCATGTACTCGTAATACTTTAACAAATAAAATTACAGGAACGGTAGAACACTTTCTACTTACACAGCTATTCATGTTATTATTACTACCTCTAGTCCTAATTATAGTCCTAATTAAAGAAGTAAGTTAGTTAGTTATTCTAAATAGGTGTTGTCTTTCCTAAAATATCCTTACTAATCAAGTGTATTGATTAGAACTATCATTGTTAAAAGAGTTACTTTGAAAAAAAATGTATAAATATAAGAGACAGAGTGGATTGGGGTCTTATATTTAGAATCAAAATAAAAGTCAAATATGATCTTATATTAAGAATCAGGGGTAGTATTATTTATCTCTTTTATATGAATTTGTCTAAAGCGAAGCATAAAAAATTCACCTAAATTTCACATGAACGGTGTCCTTCACTTATTTTCTTTTATTTGATATATGTACTCCTCCGGTCTTAAATATAAGACTCTTAGTTTTAAGAGTCTTATATTTAGGACTGGAGGAGTATCTCATTCACTCACATTTACCTGATTTTATAAAATAAAAAATGATACCCGTGCTTCCACTTTCAATTTTTTATGCATACAGATTAAATTGCACATTCACGTATATGTAATTATGTATTCAGGCCCGTTTGTCAATCACACGGAGGCTTTTAATAAGATCCTGATTTTGACACGTGTCATTTTGATGCCTAGCTCCAGGCATCATTAAGAAATATACTTATTGCCAAAACATCGTGAATATAGCTTATTAGACCGTTAACATGCAGCTTTCCCGCCAAAGAGAGGGTATAATTAAAATTTTGAAAGGAGGGCATTTTACTGATCCAAACGGATAAGAGCAAATGTGGATGATAACGGCAAAATCTAGACTCTTGGGCCTTTTTTTTTTGGAGAGAGACCTGAATTTTAGTTTATAAATTTATACTATTAAAACAAGTTTTAGTTTTAGTTTTTTTTTGGGGTGAACGAACAAGTCCTAGTTTATCACGGCTGTTAAGTTCAAGTAATCTATATATTTTTTTCACCTTTAATATTTTCCTCCAGTGTTAGGAAGTTTCCAACATTAATTGGGATAAAAAATTAGTTGAACGATAAAATGATATTTGACATGATTTTGAGATTTTTTTTTGGGTCTAAACATCACTTTAATATTAAAGCAACTTTTTCCCCTTACTTCCTTTTTTTTTTCAGATTTTAATATATTGAAAATGACTTTTAATGTATTATCCAAACAAATTTATATAGATTGACTTTTACAAAAATTTATTTAAATATAAATTATATTATACTAATTGATTTTCACTACAATTTCAATTTGTAAGAAGGTAGTTGGAATGAAAGTTATTTTTACCATGTCAGTATAAACACACCCCTAGTAAATTTGGTTAATAATAATAATTTTTTAAATTAATGTTTATCCTTTCACACTTTCTATTTAATATTTACAGTGATAAATAGAGCTAGTACATTATACACATCACTCGCTTAAGAAGGAGATAATAAATTTCGGAAAATAAGATTTTCTCGGCCGTTGAATAAATAAGCCGCAAGCCACCAAGCGAGAGGCTCGAAAATAGGTTCGGTGCAGCTTTTCTGGGTCAATATTAGAAACATAACTTGAGAGGGAGAAAACTCAAAAAACACGTAGAAAGCGAGGGAAAGGATCACGATATTCAAACCTCCATTCTCTTTCTTCTCGCTTTCTTCAATTTCTTCCCATTCTGTTTTCTTCTTTTATAACTCCACATCAAACCTCTTATTACGATCTTACTTCATCTTTATTCGTTTTCTTCTTTCCCTTAAAATCTAGCTGAGAATTTTTATTTCCAATCCCATTTTCCGCTTCACATTGTTCCCCCCCGGTTTTCATGAACGGAGCTTTTCGTTTCAGTTTATCGGATGACATAGCATTTATAGCAGATCCTGAGTCTCCTGGTGGTTTGGATTCCTGATTACTTGGTGAGTAGTAATGGCCGCAGAACAGGTATTGCCATTTTCGGTGTTATCTGTTGTTGAAGATGTTCTTCAACAGCACGGGACCCGATGGAGTGATACCAACACGACGTCAAGGAAGCTTGAACCATCTTGTGTGTAATCTTTTCAATTCCTCATTTGTCCTTCCTTTTTTTTTTTTTTTTACTCTAATAGTCTGATTATTAATTTGACATTCAACTTTAGCACGTGATCTTAATATGAAAATATCATTTTATTAATTCAATTTTTTTTTTAGTGGCATAAGACTATAAGAGTTTTGAATACCTCTAATTATATTTTTCATTAATACCATAAAATACATTGCGCCTCTTTACCAAGCATGTTGGTTTCAATTGAAATTGCAATTTCTCAAAGCATGTCTGCTAAATCTTCGCTTTGAATTGTATCCATAAGCCCTCAACATTGAGGGTAATAATGGAAAAAAACAAGGATGATCATTCCTAGTATGAATTCCATGACATGCAGTAGTAAAATAGAACTACCAGTACATGGTTTCTGAAGTCACCATAGTTGGCAAAAAAGCTACTAATTTGGGAAGGTCTTTTGCTCTGATATAAGATGTTCACGATAAGGTAACAGAAGATGGTATTTATTATTTTGCAGGCTTAAGAAGGTATGAAGCAGCTGGGTGGCTACGAAAGGCAAATGGAGTAGTTGGAGGGAAAGAGTTTCCAGCTGAGCCTTCTGAAGAAGAATTCAGGATTGGTCTGCGTAGTGGCATAATCCTTTGCAATGTTCTTAACAAAATTCAACCTGGAGTGGTACCCAAGGTATGATTCAGTAGAACTTTTTTATGCGTCATACATCCTTTTCTTTTCGGTGACATTTATTGCACTTATATGTATGTTAGGTAGTTGAAGGTCCCTGCGATTCCGATGATGGAGCCGCTGCACTATCTGCATTTCAGTACTTCGAAAATGTGAGGAACTGTCTTGTGGCTTTGCAAGAAATGGGGCTTCCAACCTTTCAAGCTTCTGATTTGGAGCAGGTGCTTATTTGTATAAGCTGAAAAGTTTTTTTAACTACTTTGAATGAAATCAATAACAGTTGTGATATGGTTCCAGGGAGGGAAATCGGCGAGGTTAGTGGATTGTGTCTTGGCAATCAAGGCATATAGTGAATGGAAAGAGGGAGGAAAAATGGGTTCATGGAAACATGGTGGGAATATAAAGCCGCTTGTTTCTGGAAGACCATTTTTACGCAAAAACTCAGAACAATTCCTCTCCAGTTTAACAAGAACCACAAGTGATCAATTTACATGCAGTGATCTCGGCCATGATCGCATCGAAGGGGTTAGAGAGCTATGCCTTTTATTAATTAATTGTTTTGCCCGCACGTGAACCAATAACCAATATTTATATGACTTGGCTTGAATTGTAGGGTTCAATTCAAAACTTGAATGTGCTACTTCGGGAATATTTGTCCGACAAGAAGCCTGAAGAAATTATCAACGTAAGGGTTTTTCACTCTTCTAAATCTGCACTTACATTATTATCACCATCTTCATCTACAATAAATTTTTTTAACGATAATTATATGCATTAGATTTTAACAAAGCATAAAGTTTCAGCCGATTTGTTGTACCACGTACACTAATAATTCGTACTATTTATGTAGCTCAAGCACTCTTCCCATCTTCCTCTATTCATCTTTGATTAAATTTATGTATTTATCTCTTTCTTATCTCTCTGTCTCTTTTTCAGGTAGTGGAGTCCCTGCTTCGCAAAGTCACCGAGGAGTTTGAACGCCGCCTATTAATACAGGATGAAATGGTGGACATCAAGCTCTTTTAATTTCGCTCAACTTCATATATAGTGATATGCTTTTGCAAAGAAATTTTGCACATTTCTCCTTTTTTTTTTTTTATCCATAGAGATTTTCTCCAACTCTTGGTGTCCATGAATCTGATTGGGTTTTCTGACAATTTTTCAAAAATTTGGTAGTCGAAAACAAATCCAGAAGATAAGGCCGCAGAATCTGAAACACACGACTCGATTTTAAAACTTGCTTCTGAGGATGAGGAGGTAAAATTATTAGATTCAATATAGGATCCTTCAAATGCATGCTTTGAATATTGTTCGTCTAAGACGCATTGCCAAGATCTCAACAACGTGACTGTTTTGTCTAATATATTATGAAGACGGAAGAAAAGGAAGATGTGCAGCCTAAGCAAGAAGAGTGCTATAATGAAAATCACTATATCAGTGAAGAATCAAGACTCCAAGCTCTGAACGAGCAGCAAAAGTTGGTTTCCCAACAACACAAAGAAATCCATATTAGTGATGAAGTAACAAGAATCCATGTTTCGAAGAACCAACAAAAGTTGCTAGCACAACAACACAGAGAGATCCAGGTAACTTGCACCAGGGGCATACTAAAATTGGTGTAACATGTTTTGAAACATAGTGAGGTAAAAGACCATAAAATTCTGATGTCCCCATTTTATAGGGCTTGAAAATTATTGCCCATCATACGAAATCAGGGATGCACTCCTTACAAATGGCATACCAGGAAGATTTCATCTTTTTGAGTGCGTATTGCTAAAGTCCCTCGTAGATATTCAATAATTTTGGACTAAAGTTTTAGTCTCCTATCTAATTACTAGTTACCCTTAATAGGTAAGCATGTGCGTAGCCTAGCTTCTGCTGCTTCAGGATATAGGAGAGTTCTCGAAGAAAATCGCAAGTTATACAATCAACTGCAGGACCTGAAAGGTGGAATTCAAGTGGTCCCGATGTTCTAATTATAATTGTTAACTTTGCTATTTGGATTCTCAATTAAATTATTTTATTTTTATTAGGAAATATTAGGGTATACTGCCGAGTTCGACCGTTCTTTGGGCAAGCAAACAATGCTGGCTCTGTTGGTAGCATAGAGGAAGGAAGTATCTCAATGATAGCACCTTCCAAGTATGGAAAAGAAGGGAGGAAAACGTTTAATTTCAACAGAGTGTTTGGTCCTACAGCAACCCAAGGTTGGTCTTCATCTAATTTGTGATCACAATCATTTGCTGCCTGGTAAGCTGTCTTTATCACTCTTATTTTCCTCTGCAGCTGAAGTTTTTGAAGACATGCAGCCTCTTATTCGTTCTGTTCTGGATGGCTATAATGTCTGTATATTTGCTTATGGCCAGACTGGCTCAGGAAAGACTCATACTATGGTGAGACATTCTGACCATGCTGTTACAATTTAATTTCCATCACTTGTGAGAACTATGTTAACTAAGTTAGTTCATGTATTAATTAATGCAGTCCGGACCAAATGATCTTACTGAGGAAACCGTGGGGGTAAACTATAGGGCATTAAGAGATCTTTTTCTACTGTCACAGCAGAGGAAAGACACTATTACCTACGACATTGGCGTTCAGATGCTTGAGATCTACAATGACCAAGTCAGAGATCTTCTAGCGACAGATGGTGGCAACAAAAAATATCCCTCTATTCGAACTTCTTTTTTTATTTGCAAAAGGAACTATATGTGGGAGTCATTTCTAAGACGATTTTCTCATTCATCTATTGTTTGTCCTTAATAACTACGTAAGTTAGATATTCGCAACAGTTCTCAAAACGGAATTAATGTACCAGATGCAACCCTCGTCCCCGTTTCATCAACTTCCGATGTCTTACGTTTGATGGACCTAGGACATAAGAATCGAGCAGTTAGTGCTACTGCTATGAATGATCGGAGTAGTCGTTCTCATAGGTGCACTCTGAGTCTAACTTGGAAGTACAAATAACATTTTTCCAAGACACTAACTTCAAATGTGTGTGATAATCGCAGTTGCCTGACAGTTCATGTTCAAGGAAGGGACATGACATCAGGAAGCCATCTTCGTGGCAGCATGCATCTCGTTGACCTGGCAGGAAGTGAGAGGGTCGATAAATCCGAGGTCACAGGTGACAGGCTCAAGGAGGCTCAACATATCAACAAGTCACTTGCTGCCTTAGGAGACGTCATTTCTTCGCTGGCTCATAAGCAAGCGCATGTTCCTTATAGGAATAGTAGACTTACTCAACTGCTTCAAGATTCTCTTGGTATGATTTCTTTTATTCGCTAGCATTTTTCTTTGTGGCTAATATGGTATTTTCTGTGACTATGAATAATGAGCTAAGTTCTGTATACCTCAGGAGGGCAAGCCAAGACACTCATGTTTGTACATATTAGCCCAGAATCTGATGCTCTAGGAGAAACACTCAGCACACTCAAGTTTGCAGAACGCGTCTCCACGGTTGAACTTGGTGCTGCTCGAGCTAACAAAGAGAGTTCAGAAGTGAAAGAGCTTAAAGAACAGGTTCTTACAATTTCTCTATCACATAATGCTAAGAAATGCGTTCTATACTATATCTGGAAGAATAATCCACTCGTGTATCCATAGTTTTTAAGTGTTACTACTGTCATCTTTGCCAGATTGCTACTTTGAAGGCAGCTTTGGCAAGAAAGGAAGGAGAAGATGAACCGCTTCCACATTCTGTGAATAGTAGTCTGGATGCCCCAAAATTCAAATCTCTCAAGTCTTCTCCTACGCAATCTGGAGGTCATAGGAAACCCCAAGACGATTCTGGTAGTGTGGAGGTAATATGGAATTGTAACTTTGAAATCAAATTTTCCTCCTTCATTTTCTTTAACTCTTAATTTGTATATTTAAAATTGGAAATTATCATCACTAGACACCTCAAAAGTATGACATGTTAGAGAATGAGTTGACCAGACACGTCCAAATTATATTTTAATTAATCTCAAAGGCGAAGCTTACTTGTATATGAACTATGATTAGAGCCAGAAGAAAGTCACAACGAAGTTGAAACGACGAAGCTTAGATCTCCAGGACATGATCATGCATTCACCTCCCTGGCCACCTGCAAGTAGTCAGAGGATGAACAGTAAAGAAGAGGATGGAGAGTCAGTTTCTGGGGACTGGGTTGAAAAGATCGTGGTGAACAGGAATGACAGCTTAACAAGTGATGATAGCCTAGTGGGTCAGTGGGAAGCAGAAAGTAAACAATCTTCTCCCTTGCTGAGTCCTAGTTCTCTTTCAGACGCTTCAAAAATATGCTCGGAACATTCCTTTAAAGTTACATTGAATAAAAAGGATAGCCAAGACTATGACATGGCCACCACAGATGACTCTGATGATCCGCTTGAGGTTGCAACTAGCGATTCCTCAGAATCAGACTTGCACTGGCAATTACATATGCCAAAACCAGCCAGTAAAATCAATGGAATAGTTTCTAAAGTTAAGAAACCCACCACCCATCACAAACTAGTAAAGAACGCCGAAGCCAGGTAATCAATCACTCCTCTTAATCACAGTTCAAATGTATTGCATGTTATAGTTTTATGTTATTTCTACTCTTCTACAATCTATTGACTTTAGTTAACCTTTCCTATAACTGTAATTGCAAACAGGAGCATGATTCCATCTTTGATCCCTGCACCGTCAAGGAAACAATTGATGATGAGTCAACCCAGAAAGCAGGCAAGTCCTATTGATGGAAAAAGAAGAACCGGGAATGCAAAGTGAGGTAGCTATTTCAGCATCCTTGTGTAAGATTTCATTAATTCTTGCCTTTTGCCTTTCTGATGTTCATGTAGTTATGTCTTGTAGATGGAACTTGAGTCTTTGTGCGCGAGAGAGAAAGAGAGGGGATTTTTCCTTTTACGTTGGAGGAGCAATAAACCAGTTGCTCGGCTTCTCTGGTGGTGAACGTGAGATCTTTTACATCCTGTTGGAATCAATGTGTTTTAGTGGCCGGATTTTTGTGGCCTTTTTTTGAACCCAGAAAAGAAAAGAAGGAAGAAATACTCCTCTTGCGCTTTGAAGCAGGAGCATGGCCGCTTGGGAAAGAAGGGGAAAAGAAGATAAAGTTGTATTTGGGGGGTTGGATTTTGTAAATTTATACGATCTTATAGGCAAAAGAAAACTCCAAAGTTTATAGGATTAATGTAATTTTTATAGACTAAATAACTCCAGTTCTGTAATGTTCTTACAGGATTTGAGTGACACGTTATGAAAACCTTTTCAATGCTAAGTTTAGTTGAGCCACCTAATATTGACCTTAGTGCTATGTGAAAGGACAATTTTTTTCTTTTCTTTTGTTTTTTTTAGAGAAATCAGCTTGCTCCTACACATTATTGATATAAAAAAAAATCACCACCTCGTGTCTTTATTATAAGTCATGTCCGAGAAATTTTTCATCGCGGTTTTTCTCTTGGCCCACCGAAAAAGTTTTTCTCCAGAACTGCCGTATGTATTGGAAGGCAGTCGTTGACGTTCTCTCCTGTAAAAGGATTAATGAAAGACAACCTTGGAAAACATTGGTAAAATGGTAGTTTTAAAAAAAAAATGTAAAACACAAAATTTTAACTATTTTTATTGCGTATGAGGAACTTAAAAATAATTTATTCGAAAAATAGAAAAAAGCGTCATATTTATAAAAGCATGGAATCTGCAATGATTTCAAGGTTATATTAATCGCAAAAATTTGAAATAGTCCTTAAAAAGATAAATAAATGAAAGGGTCAAAAGGGACGTTTTATTTTTGCCCGAAAAAAGAAAGAAAGAGGGCGGGAGGAGCGGATTAGAGAGGCGGCGGAGGCGGGGCGCATGGGCACGGCTTGAAACGGAAGTTTCAGGAAGTTGAGAGGCGGGGGAAGGCCCCAGCAGCGAACGGCGACGCAGATGATGGGCTTTCCAGCTGGCTCCTCATTGTCACTGTGTGGCGATTCTTCGGAGCCATGGGCGGTCCAGCCCACGTGGCTACGTCACCCTCTCTCCCACTCTCTTCTTCTATATTATAAAATTAGAATCATAATTTAGGGCCTGTTTGGATATTCTGAAACCGTGGTTTCAGAAGCACTTTTCCGTAAAATAAGGTAACCTCCTCCACATATTTATTTCGTAATCCGTAAAAACACTTCTGAAATCATGGTTTTATTTTTATCCAAACACTCCTTAGTAGAACAATATGAGACGAAAACAGATAAATTGGTAGTCTGGTTGTAAGAGACAATCAAAGGCCAATAGAAATCCTTTTTTTTTTTTTTGGGGGTGTTTTCACAGGCCTTTGACTTTTGCAGCTCTCTCCCTTTCCTGCCCTTTTTTGCATTCTCCAACTCACTCCCTGCCATCTTTTTCCCAACTCTTCTCTTCTCCCTTCTCAAATTTCTCGGCCTAAACTGCTCGTGTTGTTAAAAAGATTAAAAAAAAATTATAAAATTTTTTTAATAACATTTAAACAGTCTTTAATGATAAATTTCAAAATAAAAAATGATAATTTTTAAAATTTTAAAATTTCAAATTTTATTTTTTCTTAAAGCCTCATTATAATTCTTCCAAAAGATAATTTAACTATATTGATAATTCAAAACTAATATATATACACCCACACATGAACTTTTGTTCTTTCTTGGCGCGTGTGTCTATATAGTTATATATATCGGGTAAAAGAAACTAGACAAGTGGAGGGTATTCCCACTACTGCGCCTGCCACATTCAAAGGAAGATTTTGCTGAGATAAATCTTCATCCCCTTTCATATTCACGGCATCCTCATACAATTTTTTGGGCACAAACTATCCAATTAACCCAAACTAAACCCCAAAATATTTCAACCATTTTGTTTCAAAATATTATTTTTATAGTTAAAATATGAACAACGAATTTTAAATCCTACCATAGATCTCCGGTGTTTAATTAGAAACACATATTATGTGAATCAGCAGTTTATTGCGTTGGCCGAAATAAATAAAGTCACCGAATACTTACCTTATACGAGGGCATTCATCGAAGCTCAAAAAGCGAAATGTACGAGGGTATTTATGTAATTTAGAGCAAGGGCATTGTGCTTCCGTATATTACCACGAAGACTAGGACAAAAATGTCACTATCGGAATCCTCTGCCCAAAGGGCCTCTTTTCCGCGTTTCCTCTCGCCCTCTCTTTCTCTGGATTTCTCTACCAATCATATCACAGGCAAGCTCTCTTGCTAGTTGCTTCTCTCTGTTTTGGGCTACTAGGGTTTATGAGCATTTGATCTGAAGCTCAGCTCCTGGAAATGATTCTAGAATTGGAGGGTTAACATGTATGATACGGCCAATCCGCAATGTTGAATCGTCCGCCTCGATCTGCTGCATTTCTCACTTGTGAGTTCAGTTTTTACCTTTTCCCTTAACTTTATCATTTTCATTCCGAACTTTCATACCAATTGATTCTTGTCTGAAGAAAATTATAAAATGCTGCTCAAATCCAACCAATCACGTAGGACCCTTCGATGGATTTACTACTATCCTTCTCCTTTCTAAAATGCAGCTTCATTGGTTTGTGGATATACATGTCGTAAGATGGAATATTTTCGGAGCATTCCGAGAAAGTTGTTAAAGTTTGATTTTTGTGAATTAGAAGTTGGATGCGTACTTGTGATATTTGTCAATGCCTTGGTTTGAAATTAACTGTTCTGGCTGAATCATCCGATCATGATTTATTCTGATATTTCACTTTGCCCCAATAAAATTGACTTAAACAGAGAAGTTTTTGCGGACCTTGTTTCGGGGAGTATGGTTTTGTCTTTTATCTAAATTGTAATGTATATCACCAGTGTTCCATGGTTTTAGATTTATGTCCCCAGTATGGCATTCTGCTTCATAGGCGGCTGAAATTAATGGATCTTATTTTAGAACTAAATCATGCGTGATGGTATACTTAGGTCGTTTCATAAGCTGGATTTCGCCATTTCCTTTCCTGTGGAAAGTACTAACAGTATAAGCCCTGACCAGGAAGAGAAGCCCCGGATCATTTCGATCTACCAGCAATGATATCCCTGTTAATGATTTATTTTATGATTGATTATTAGGGTTTCTTCAGTGGGTTTCCAGAAATGTTGAATTTTAGACCAAGATGAGTAAGACAGAATTACCAAGGACGAAGGCGCCCCCGGTTCCTTTGGCAACTTTGATTGGCCGCGAGCTCCGGAATGAAAAAGTTGAAAAACCTTTTGTGAGGTATGGACAGGCTGGCTTGGCAAAGAAAGGGGAGGATTACTTTTTAATCAAGACGGACTGCCAGAGGATTCCTGGGGATTCATCAACACTGTTTTCTGTATTTGCGGTATTGTTCAATCTTCGTGTACTTGTATTATTATATACGTTGACTGGCATTAGCGTGTCATTTCTTCTCTATGACCAGGCTGATTACCATTTTCTCTCAGCATTTGTTACTGATACTTACTATTGGCTCTCGTTTGGCAGATCTTTGATGGGCATAATGGTATATCAGCTGCTATTTTTGCAAAGGAAAATATACTTAATAATGTCATGAGTGCAATACCACAAGATATCAGCAGAGATGAGTGGCTTCAAGCTCTTCCTCGGGCTCTAGTTGTTGGGTTTGTGAAAACTGACATAGAATTTCAGCAAAAAGGTACGAAGGCCTCCAGTTATATTTCATTGTGTGGATCCTCAGACTATTAACGCATGCTCATTTTGACAATCTAATTTTGTTTACAGGCGAGACTTCTGGGACTACAGCAACATTTGTTCTGGTTGATGGTTGGACTGTCACTGTTGCATCAGTTGGGGATTCTCGATGTATATTAGATACCCAGGGAGGTGTAGTATCTCTTCTGACAGTTGATCACAGACTGGAAGAGAATGCAGAAGAGAGGGAACGTGTCACTGCTAGTGGTGGTGAAGTAGGAAGACTCAATGTATTTGGAGGCAATGAGGTATGGCACAATCTACTTCATCCTTTATAAGCAGGGCTTACTTGATCTCATTTGTTTTAATTCCTGAATATGTATACAGGTAGGACCCCTTCGCTGCTGGCCTGGCGGATTATGTCTTTCTAGATCGATTGGTGACACAGATGTCGGAGAATTTATTGTGCCAATTCCCCATGTTAAGCAAGTAAAGGTGAGGCAGTTTTATTCTTAAGAGTATATAACCTTGAGCTTTATGTGAAAGTACTGAGTTTCAAACATTTTCTTGGTTACTCAGCTTTCAAATGCTGGTGGAAGACTTATCATAGCTTCTGATGGCATTTGGGATGCCTTATCTTCTGATATGGCTGCCAAGTCTTGTCGGGGTCTACCTGCAGAGCTTGCTGCAAAGCTGGTAGTTAAGGTGATGCATACTAGGTGCAGTCTTTCTATCATTTTGAGAGGCGTCCAATTATGTTCTTGTGTTAATGCTTTGCTGTTCCTCCTTTCTCCAGGAGGCTTTAAGGTCGAGGGGACTGAAGGATGATACAACTTGCCTTGTTGTAGACATTATTCCTTCAGATCATCCTGTATTACCACCAATTCCGAAAAAGAAACATAATATGATAACTTCACTTCTCTTTGGGAAGAAATCTCAGAACTCCACTAACAAAGCTAGTAATAAGCTGTCTGCTGTGGGAGTTGTAGAGGAGTTATTTGAGGAGGGTTTCTGCAATGCTTGCAGAAAGGTACGTTACGCCAGTAACAGATGCTTTGTCCAGCCCATAACTGCTGCATTTAGATCTGTATACTATACGTATTTGCGTAATGCCTGCATCCATGCGTTTTGTGTGACAAGTGGTAGGATGAAAATTGTTTTTGCCTCTCTCCATACAATTTGGATGGGATTGAGTTTTAAATCTTGACTCTGCAAGTTTGTTGCTGAAAATGCAGGCTTGGTAAGGATTTTCCTTTGAATGCAAACTCTGGGATTTTCCGTTGCGCAGTCTGCCAGGTGGATCAACCTCCTGGCGATGGTTTATCAGTGAACTCTGGCCCTTTCTTCTCGACCGCATCTAAGCCGTGGGAAGGTCCGTTCCTCTGTGCAAACTGCCGAAGGAAGAAAGATGCCATGGAAGGGAAAAGGCCTAGCAGACCCACAGTGACAGCATAGTAATTGTCTAATATTTTAGTAACATAGTAAATATTAGTATAATTTTTGCCTGGCAGTGTGAGCATGTTTGGTTTTACCTTTTTGTTGGTGGTTGAATACCACAGATGTGAGGTTGAGATGGTTTGATAGGTGTGTTGGTGGTTGTTGTAAGTTTTGATTCTGGCTTGTGCTCAGCTGTTGGACCGACTGACAACAAACGTGGTCTAGTAGATAAGTTCTAATGGTGTGTTTGCTAACGGCTTGAATCTGTAAGTAAATCCAAATTGAAGACAGCATCGCGATATGTTTCTCAATAGTACATGGGTCCTTTCCATGTAGAGAGATTGATTATGTTGAAGTACACACAAAAGTCACCAATCTCTGCAACTCTTCTCTAGTTGTACCTGTCATGAGATCTTCTGTGGCCCCCATGCGACAATGACGTAGAAACCAAAAATTACTTCTCATACTCAAATTAAAGGATACAATAATGAACAATAAATGCTGCAGGTGGGGGAAGAAAATATCAAGTTTTTCAAAATATGATGAATAAAGTTGCGAGTCATGAATAGAATTTGATATATGATAAAGCTCACTTGTTTAGTTATCTAAATGTCGACCACAAAAATGAGTAATTAATGCCGGACTAAAGGCATTTGATTAATTTTAGTAGATTAATACAGTATTAAGATTAATTGGCTAACACGTAATTATCTGAGCTGAGTTGTTATATATTAGCTAGTCAGGTTAGTTGCCACGCCAGATTGTTGGGAGATATCATCGAGGCTATTAGGCGGACTTCACAATGTTCCTCTGCATGTATAAGTAAGCTGTATCTGGCTCGTTGTCGCACTGTTGAATAATAATCAGCACATTTTGTTCAAATTTTTCTCCCTTGCTCAACCTCCTAATCGTCCTCCATGCCTAAAATTGCTTCATTTGGAATCAGATATATCATATATATTTTTTGAAATAGAAAACAATTACTAATGGGCCAATCTCCTACAGTTTAAAGGTCCTAATTCCTTAATTTTTCCCAGAGGAGGTAATACACCAGCTAATAAATCGAGATGAAATAAATAAGAAAAATTTACTTATTGTAAGACGTGGGGCTAAATTACCTGAGCATTTGAAGAGAATGAACCTTGTAAATCCCTCGAAATAAGGCATTATTCACTCCCACGTCTCTACCGTAATTTCCCACTTCTTAACTCCATTGTGCAAGTTTATAACCCACAATAATGTGCTTCAAATTCCTCCAAGCTCAACACAACACGATGGAAGAAAACCCAAACGCATGCAAGAATCCTATTGCTGCAGCTAACATTCCATCAAATTCTTCTTCGTCTCACTTCATTAGCATCGCCATGCGCGATCACTCAAAGCTAAGCATGAAGATTCCCAGGTTGATGGACAAAACCATGCACAGCAGAAGTCGAAGGACTAAACGTGGATATCAGTTTCCGAAGAAAGTTGTGTCAGTCTTCTTCTCCAGCTTGTTTGGAAAGAAGAGATCACTGGGTACAAAAGACGAAGATCATACTGAGTCGGAGAGTTTTTTAGGAAGGAGCGACTCCCAACATGAGAAAGAGAAGAACGTTACTGCAGAAGGAAACGGTTTGGTTCATGAGAATCAGCGAATTGTAGGTCCGTTATCTCAGCTTATTGAACTTGAGCTTGACGATGCTCTGGAGCCTCACGACGCAGAGGAAGGAAAGCAAGAACACGGAGTTCTTCCATTAGCAAGTTTTGTTGATGGAAACAAGAGTCATAATGGCGAAGCTGCGGGAGACCGTACAGATGTTGTGAGCGGTTGGGGACTGTTGAGGATCAAGGTAAGATCATGCCGCCTGGTTAGGGTTGTGTCGAGAATAGTCACCATTACGAGTTGGCTGAAAAAGAAAGCAAGGGAGGAGGTTGAATTGGAAGACGATGGGAAAAGAGAAGAGGAGGAAGAAGAAGCATGTCTGTGGAAGAAGAGGATCCTCATGGGAGGGAGATGCAAGCCGCTGTATTCTTCAGGCGGCTTTCAGTACGATTCAGATGGCATTTTAATCCCGGATCTATTTCTGTGACCCACGCTCTTCTTTGTCATTCGCAAATCGCAATCCTCCTTTCCGAAATGTTTGATATCTACATTAATTCTTCGATACTGGCTTCTGCTTCAAGGGGGCGCCTCGCCTTACACTTGTTAGCGATGCCTCAATTAGAATTCAATCTCCACTCCTTGCTTGCTAATGATGTACTTCGTTGGATTTTCCCACAAACTACACGATACTTCATTTTAAAGTCGTCTTTTAATTTCTGGCAAAAAACATTCTTTTAATTTCATCTCATTGTCCTCGTTAAGTGAATTTTGAATTTTTATCATAAACATCTCTTCAAAAGGAGACGGCAAACAAAGTAGAGGACCAGGTGCTCATAACCCATTTACCAGCCATAAAAAGTAACACCGACTTAACTAATTTTTGTAATTAAAGTTAGAGTGAAAATCAATTAGTGTAATACGATTTATATTTAGATAGGTGCTTATAAAAAGTCAGTTGAAAAAGTTAAGTTGTTTAGATGATTAATAGAAAAGTTAGTCTAGTTGTAAAATAACTAAAAAAAATATGGACTTTATTAAATAGTAGTATTTGAAATTTTATGTTTTTAATGTGATAATAATTTTAAAAAATACGTAAAATTATTATGATAAGATATAAATAGTTTATTTGTGAAATTATAAAATAAAAATATTTGTTACTGAAAAAAATTTAAAAACACATAATAGATAATTAATTAAATATACATAATAGACCCATGAATAAAAATTAAAATTTATTTGGTCTCTAATTAAAGTAAATGAAATCACATAACTAAGTAGATCATAAGCTTTGCACAATTTTTTTATAAGTCAGTTAGAAAAGTTGATCCAGATTACGTTGGATAAGTTAGTTAGAAAAGTTACTTTTTTCTATAAGTTAGTTAGAAAAAAAGCCACATCCAAATAATTTTCTGAGCCACAATAAACCATAAACCTCAATTTCACGTTTCCTTATGTGTTTTTACCATTTGCAACGGCAATTCAAACGAGGCCAAAAAGTTACGAGCTCAGTACTGATATTTGGTCTATTAAGAAAATAGCTACTGAGCCAAAAATTAAATTGAAGCTGTATCCAAAAAATAATTAAATCGAAATGGGAACAAATTTTTTTGACTAAAAAACATTTTATCCTTTAATTTTATACAAAATTTCAATTTAGTTCTTTAATTTTAAAAAATATACTTTTTATCTTTTAATCCTAAATTTTTTTAAAAAAATAACATTAAAATCAATAAAACATTCTCAAATACTAATATATTTAATTTTCAAAAAATGTATGATTATTATAAAAAATCAACATTAAAACCTAATAATTTTAGGATTAAAAAATTAAATACATACTTTTTAAAATTAAGAACCAAATTGCAACATACAAGTTAAAAGACCAAATGTACACTTTAATCTTTCTTTTCTTTTTTTTTCAGTTTTTAACTTCTAATTTTTCTTCAGATATGAACCTGCTAAAACAGACGATAAATCATCAAAACAAGCTGATTTTTATATAAATACTTGTTCAGATATAAATTATATTATACGAATTAACTTCTATCCCAACTTGAAGTTTGTCACTTTTGCCAACTACAATCATACAAGCTCTAGTAGCCCAGTATAAAACTCAGCAACGGCCACTTCTAGTATGGAGGAACATTTTTTGTTCAGCACATATCACACAAACACAAGGAGACAAAGGAAGCGGTCAGGGTCTCAGGGGTTTCAACCCGAGAGCAGCTCGTAACTTGTTGGCTTCAGCAATCTCAGGATCAGGGTGATCGGTCCCATCGTCCTTCTTCTCCTTCTTCTCCTTCTTCTTCTTAGGCTCTTCACGACCTGCACCACCATCCTCACGTCTGCCATCTCCATGCCTTCTACTACTCGGACTCATGCTACTCCGTGCATGTCTCTTCCTATCCCTGCGATCTCTGCTCCTACTCCTGCTCCTTGAGTGGCTTCTTCGTCTCCCTCTCTCCCGATCCCTATCTCTCTCTCTCCTCTCCCGCTCCCTCCCTTCTCTCTCTCTTCCATACTCTTTTTCTTCCCTCACACGATACCGGTCCCGGTCCCGGTCCCGATCACGGCCTCGCCCTCTCTCTCTATCATAATCTCGGTCATAATCTCTATCCCTGGCAGCCAGACATCCAAAAATGCAAATTCTTTTAAGAAAAAAGCACTGATCATGATAACACCAATTCAGAAGAAGACTTGTAAACCATTGAAAAATCACCTCCCCTGACTACTAGTAGTTTATGCACGTGACTGGAAAATAGGGGTAAAATCAATATGACAAACAAATGATTTCGCTTTAACCCGTGGCAATTAATTGACCATGTTTAATGACTCATTCAACCACTGTCGCTCACCACCATGAAAAGCTTTTCTGACAAGAAATATGCAATTCCCTAACAGATCAATTGATTAATTCACATGTTGATGTGATCACATGGAACCATATTTAAACAGCAATAACAATGTCTGATCCATCATACTTCTCGCTGCACACTGTCAGTGCAGAGAAACCTGGCAGGATCACAATGTTTTACTCTAGGAAGCAGTTGTGCACCACAAATGGCTATGAATGCCACAATGGAAATAGAAATATGACTTTAAACAGGGTATATGTTGGGTAACTTCAGAAACAGCTTCCGTTACATTTTAGCCGTCTTTTTGAACAATAAAATGCCTGTCATTATCGCAGCAATCATGGAATAAAACGCAAATTATGCTTGCATTGGACATTTAAACCCAAACCCAGCAGATTAATTTATGGATAACGGAAGAGCCAACAAGAATTATACTCCATTCAATCTCCTTGACTAAACTAACGTGTCAAGCCATGCAGATGCTTGCAATGAGTAAAAGATACCTGTGCCTATGACTATCACGTCTTCTATCTCTATCTCTTTCCCTTGTGGGACTTCGACCCCGATAGTAATCCTGTTGAACATTCAATAATCAGACCAAAAATTAAAACCACCTATATTTGACTTAGCATGGACAAGGAAGAAGGAAAGAAAGAAAAATGATAGCTTTTTTTTTTTTTTTTGGGTTATTAAGAAGGGAAAGGGAACACACCTTCTCATAGGCTCCATCTTCAAGCTCATCAACAGGCTGTTCATTTTCCTCTTTCTCTTCTTCCTCCTCAAAATCTTCTTCAAGAGCACTACGTCGAGGTTCTAAGGCATCAAGGGATTCAAGAGTCCACCTATGAAATAAGAGAAGACAAGATGGAGAAAGATAAATCACAACCCAAATTGAAAAACCAGCTCTCGAAATAAATAATACTTAAAATATCATTGCAACAAACTTTTCATATAGAAATTGCCTTAGTTTGACAAGAAAATTTTTTCAAAGGTTTACCAAACAAGTTTTTCAAATTCAGAAATAGATAATCACATGGAAAAGTTATACTCGAGAAGTTAAGAGAAACCTTTTCTTAATTCGAGGCAAAGCAATATCGCAGGAGTAATCTTTTGTCAAGAGCTCATCAATAACCTCATCCACATGTGTCAAACTAAACTCTGAAACATCAAGAACAATTAATTTGCCCAAATTGTGAGTCGCAATAAGCATATGGTATAATAAACATATTGATTATAACTGAGATGGTATAATAAACATATTGATTATAAACTCTTCCAGTGCCAGAACTGGCATAGAATTATAAGGCAGAAGCTTTCATATTTAAGTTTAAAATCTTACGGCCATCAGGTAATTTTCGTCTGAGTTTTCGGTAGTCATTGTATAGGGGCTCCAAATATCGATACACATCAATATCAGAACCAGTAAGACGCAGATAAAAAGCACCAAGTATTCTCACATATCTGCAGCCATATTTTAAAAATAAACAAAATGAGAAACTACTAAAAGAAACATGCATCAATAGGCAAAATATAGGAAGGAAAACGAGAACGTGATGTGACACTATATCTGATTTATTTTCGAAGACGGACATCAGTGATTCGGTGCCATTGTAAATTTCTCTCTCTCCCTTTTTTCTTAGAAGTAAAGTTGAACATGGTCCAAGAAGAGCACTGCAGTCTTGAAATAGTTAAATTATTTTTGTGCCCAGGAACACCATATAGAGGTCCTTCAACGGCAACACAAGCATCAAAATAAGTTTTTCAAAACTATGGTTCCTAGGCTCACTCCCAAATTTTCCTCTACCAATTGCAGGTAAAGACACACTAGATCTAAATCAGCTCAAACTCATTCTCCAACTCAATTTACAACGATTTTCCAAGTAGATAATCAAGATAAAACAGTTACTTCTCCAACAATAAGCATTCAAGGAGGGGGGAAAAAAGATGCCAAAGTCATGCAAGGGAAAAGAAAAAGGTAGAAGTACTTGTAATCCTCATTCTTGATGAACTCGATAACAATTTCCTTCTCAGGTTGAATCTGCAACATCTTCATAACAAGACACATGAAGGGCGTGGGTTTGCGGTTACCGCCATAAGTCCCACCAAGATATTCAAGCTCCATGGCTTTGTCCACCAAGGTCTCCGCAGTCAAACCAAAACATTGTTCTTTCCAATAAGTGTTCTGGTAGATCTTCGATCGGAGAATCTTCTCCACTAGATTCTGAGGATTTGTGCCTCTGATGCTTCTAGCTGCTGGGTCCGTGCGATTCGCCATTTATGAAGTTCTTCACAAAGGATTAGATAAACCCTATTCCATAAAATTAACCAAATACAGAACAATGATTAACGACCAAGAGATAGCAGTGTTGTACAATTCTTTTACTTAAAAAGAAAACTGCGTCAAAATTAGTGTCTACCAAGAACGCCTGAACTTCACAAAAAAAAAAAAAAAAAAAAACTGCTCATGAGCTGTAGGACAAAAATCCCTACAAGGGAAAGAACAGTGAAGAAGAATATAGTCAAATACCAGAATGTTAATTGCAGTACCTTTATAATGTTATTCTTTAAAATAAAATTAAGAAATCAAAACAGAATTGCTTTAAAAAGGCCCGTTGAAGCCAAAACAACGAGTAACAAGGGGAGGGTGCAAAGAAGTATCAAATGGCATACCGTAAGCGTGTTGATTTCAAGCCATGACTGCAAGGTGCGATGCAGGTTCAAGCGGCCAACAAGCTCTCTGACGATAAGGCAATGTACGAGAAACTTGCGCAGGCAGGGAAGCCAGCCAGAGGAGGGAAGAACAAGCGGAGATAATGATGAAAGGCCGTAAAAAGATAAGAAGAGGAAGAAATGTCCGCGAACGGGAAAGAGCGTGAAAAAGGGGGATGCACAAGATATGTAAAACCCTAAAATTGAGAATTAGGGATAACGAAAGACATCTAGGAGGCTAGTGCCGCAAAAGACGGAGGCTCGAAAATGAGCACCGACTGTGGATCTATTACAGACCGATGATATATTAAAATGCGTTATTATTATTTTTTTATTATAGTTTTTGTCCTTTTATTTTATTTTAATTTAATAAAAGTATTTAAATAAAGAAACAAATTAATTGAGAAACTCGTCAAAACACTGACTCAAAATTTGATATGAGGGAAATAGAGAAAAAGAAAGAGGAGAGAAAATTTTAATGAACCTAACTTAAAAAATTGGAAGAGCGGGATTATAAAATTTTAATAAAGAGAAGATATAAGATAAAAAATTAATAAAAATTAATTGAAAGTTTTTAATTCTATTTTTTAATTTTTTTAGATTGAGCTTTTTAAAATTCTTCTTCCTTTCTCATTTGATAAGTTGACATCACGTATATTACAAATTTTAAAAATTCACTTAATTCATAAATTGACATATAATATAATATTGTTTAGAATATTTTAAGTAAATAATGTCATGTTTATTATAATTATTATTTAATTAAATTTTTAAAATTTATTCAGATTAATTAAGTATCAAGTGAAGTAAAGAATATGATTTAAATTTAATTGGAAATAATTAAAAAAAAATCATCTCTAATCACAAGAGACAGCGTACATGGGGTTCACACAAAAAATACAACATAATTCCTTGAACAGGCACGAATCAGCTCCAATTGGAATAAACCATAAAATGCAAAGGGCAGTGCCTAATTAATTAGTAAAAACAACATTCCCTGGACAAGAAGTCCAAATCAATCATCTAAATGGAATTTTATCTTTCTTTTCACTTTCTCATGCCAACTCTGAAAAAAAGAAGAAGAAGAAGAAGAGTTTTTAATCCTTTCGCATTTCCTCTCCATAATCACGTGTCGTCTAATTGGAGCCTGCTAGCAAGAGTTTTTTTTTCCTTTTCCCTCCCGGGTACAATAGTAAGAGTTAAACAGTTAATATGATTGCAGCTTGAACCTCATCATCAGCAGGGGAAAAAAAAAACTCGGGAATGCAGTAAGCAGGCCATGTACAGTTAGTTTAATCCTTCGGACCTAAGTAGAAAACTTATTTTATAATGTAAATTATATTACAAAATATTTCTTATATTTAGGATTGAAAAAGTATTAGAATCTGCTAATATGATTTCTTCTTTCAAGACAAAAGTCCTTAAGCATGATTTTCCCTCAAATGAAAAAATCAAGGCACACAAGACATGCAGAAAAAGGTAGAATTATTAGTTTGTTGTCATTGTATGCAAGTTAAGGTTTTCCTCGGGCAAAAAAAAGTGTTTAATATACATATTCTTGTATATGTTCTATTTATAAGTTGAATTGCGCGAGAAATCTCGGAGGATTCTAATCAGTTCGTTTCTCTATATACAGAAGGATCGATGTACACACAGATTTGGACGGCCATTATGACATATATGGTACTCCTCCGGTCCTAATTATAAGACCCAATTGACTTATTTGAGGAAATTAAGGAAGTAAGTTAAGTTGGTTATTTATAATAAATAAGTGTTGTCATTCCTAAAATATCCTTGCTAATTAAGTATATTGGCTAAAACTATCATTATTAGAAGGATTATCTTGGAAAAAAAATGCATAACTATAAGAGACAAAATGGATTGGGTCTTATAATTAGGACCAAATAAAAAGTCAAATTGGGTCTTATAATAAGGACCGGAGGAATAATTACTTTTGGACCAAGCTATATAGCCTAACTGATTGGTCTCTGGTACTGTCGACCTCTCTTCCATATATTTGACCACCACCAAAACCTCGTCAATTCCCGCCACACCAACCGTTGCATATCTTGATCGCTTTTGCTTATCCACTGTGATATTCATGAATTGGAATTCGTGTTTCGTTATATTTCTTGTGAACTTGTCCCTTCTCGCTGCTTCCCCGTTGCAATATGTGGACGTTGTTGCTGGCCAAGATGAGAATGTTCGCTTCTGGCGGAATTATGGCCTTCCATGGGTTTATCGACGATCCACAGTGCAAAGATTCTTCAAACTATTGGTGGAACGCGCCCAAGTATGCGAGTCTTGACCCTCTTCAGAAGAAACTCTACCACGAAGTCAGAAGCAAGTATATGGTCTATGATTATTGTGCTCACAATCCCATCCCTGAGTGCCATGGTGGGGACCTTTAGTAAACGACTCATGAGTTTCCCTGTCATAATGATCGTCCGTACGATTATTGAACCATCCATCTCTCAGATTTGTTGCATGTTCCATCAACTTACTCGCCATTAATTTGGAATTGTGAACTATTGGTCTATTGCACCTTGTGATCAAAATCAAGGTGTAGCGTGTGATACGAATAGTTGTCCATGAGCATCAAATAAGAAAATTAAATACAGAAAAAATCATACAAGTCATTTTTATATTTATATATCAAGTTGTATTATTTATATGGGTAATTTATATATCAAGTTGGTCATTATAACTTCTTCATCCGCAAGTTTCTGCTATCTGCATATGCGTCGTAATTGCAAAACAAGGCAACTACCACATCTAGAAACTATGTTTACCTCCAAATTCAATTATCTTCTTCTTCTTTTTCCCGGTAAAAAGGCTATTTTAATTATCTCTAGCTAACAAAAATAACTTCGATTTAAGCTGTAATAGGACGGGTTAGATTCTCTCATATCCTCTACATATAGCAACACGCGTAGTTTAAATAATGACGTAAAACGAACACACTTGCAATTAAAGCGGCAGGTACTGTCTCCGATACAAATTTTTTTTCCATGGTGATTAGCGGAAAAAAATCAAAAACAAAGTCCAAGGCTTCAGTAACTTAAAATTCATAAGCATAGACAAAGGGCAATTTGTGGATAGACAATAGTAATTAATAAATGATTATGAAATTTGACCCAAAAAAATGATTGTGAACAAGGAAGTCTGCAGGCAAGTTTTAAAAATCTGTTTACCGAAACAATCCAATCTTTAAATTAAGGTAAAAACATCGAACGCTTTCAATTGGACAAACCTTGTTGGCTCTTTTAATATATATTTATTAATTTATAATTGTGCGAAATTTATGTGCCAAGAGCCGCAGGAGTAAGGGCTTAGGCGTTGGCAAATTAATAGAAGGGCTTAGGCAATTGATGCCTCGCGATCCTTAATCTGTCATTCTCCGGAAATGATTTCCGTAACATTTTTTTTTATTTTCTTTCTATCCATTTCAGCTCAAACTTCACCAATGATTCGCCGCTTGTTCTTTCGTCAACTTTCCTCACTCAAGCTTGTGCATGATTTTTTCGTTTGCCGATTGAGTTTTTAGTGAGCTTCATCATTAGTAGTCAACTGCCGATTTTAGAGTAAGAAAATGCTTCTCTCATTCCCGAATAACCCTAAAATAATAATGTGATATTATGGGGAGGGGAGTGGGGAGCGCAAAAGGCCCTCGTTAAATTTTGATTTTTGTTTTTCTGCCACAACCGTTAAATTTTGATTCATTTATTTATAATTATAAACCGTTGAATTTTTTAAAATTGGCAAGGAGATATTAAACTTCAATTTTTTTTGGGGCGTCCAAAGCAGCAGGGTATAACGGCCCCCTCACCAACATCAGTAACCAACAAGAGATTTCATTATAATATATCAATATGGGAAGAGAATTAACATATTCACATTACAAATAACCAACGCAATTACAAGTTGACTACAATACAATACACAAGTTTAGTACATGACCTGAACATTTACCCATTTTATGTCCAAGCTGGTATTGACAAGAGACAAATGGGGGAATCAAAATCTAACATGATTAGACTAGAATGATACAATGAATCTTATCTTTGTGCCTGATCAGGAGTGTGGATATTTGAAGTAGATGACTGCCCTTGCCTACCGTTTAGCACTCCATTATCTACAGGTGGAGTAGATCCCCATTTACCATCTGATTCAGAGGGCTCTATTACTTTGACGGATCCATCGGTCAACCCAACAGCCAATTGGTTGGGTTCTTGTGGATGAGCTGCAACCACGAGTGGGTAAACAGCTTGGCTTCTGCAAAAATTAAGCATGACTTAATTGTCTGATCGAAAAATGTTTAATGCTAAATATCATAGAGGTGGATTCAATCCATTATTCCTGACACTTACCCACTTAAAGCTGCCTGTGACAAGTATGCTGATGGAGCAATACGACATCTTAGCCTCAAGCTATCAGCATCAAAGACCCCAATGTTACCATCAAAGAAAGTAGCATATATTAACAGACTGTTGCTTGAATAAGTTGCATATGATATGGGAGCAGGCAGAATATCTTGTGGAAGCCACTGCAGCACAAAATCAGATAAGCATATCACTATTTGGATTCAGTCAGTCAGTCACTAGCAGATCAACTAATGCCAGAAGTAACCTCCTACCTGTCGAATGCGATCCATCTTGGAAGCATCATATATTGCCAAATGAGTCTCATGGACTACCAATAAGCGGAGTTGATCAGAATGGAATTGGACTCTAGTATCACCGACTGGAGACTTTCCCGCAGGTAATTGTATTGTTATTGATTTTCTTTTCTCCCATGTATCAATGCTCCACACGCAAAGCTGAAAAAATAAATGAAATTTTAATAAATGAAAGGTAAAAGCATTGCACGCAGACATGCCTTAAAAGTATAGTACTATGAACTTCTGTAATTGTATAGATAATGTTAACAGACATACTTGGGCATCAGCACCAGACGAGACCAGTATGTTAAGATTGGTCGAAAAGGCTAAACCAGTGATACGCTTCTGATGACCCTTCAATTTCGACTTGACCTAGTAATACATCCAAAAGAAAAGGAAGATATCTATGATTATAGTAAACAAATAGCATATCTCAGGTTGGAGAGAGTAAGCAGCCAAAGATGGTAATCACCTCATCCACTCTAACATTGTAAATGTGAATCGTTGAATCCTCCATCCCAATGGCTATGATGTTGTTATCCTGTGGGTGGAAAGACAGGAAAGTCGAGGCAGGAGGTGGTGGCATGAACGTTGTCATTACCTGGGTGAAAATAAACGGTGGTTACAAATAAGCACCAGTAAAATTTGAAACGAAGATCAGACATCTACATCAGATACAGACCTTGAATGTCATCATGTTAAATAATGAAACCTTTCCACCACAGGCGGACATAACATAAGAATCATTCTTTGAGAGTGCAATGCAAGGAACTGCTTCTTCAAGGTTGACACCAGAAATATCATTGGTCATAAGAAGACCACTGTTGGGTTGCCAGTGTTGAGGAACAACACTGGCTGTGGCCTGAAATCATCTAAGCATCATTAATCGATTCACTGCTGAGTTGGAAGAAGAAATAAGACACGTAACAGAAGGGTGGCAAGGAAAATTAAGTGAACCGATTATTTGATAGATGGTACCTTCCCAGTAGGATTTTGTTCATTACGAGTCCACTTCCACAGTTTCTGAATACCATTTGACCCAAGTGCCAAAACACCAGCACCAGAATTTGTATATAAAAGTCGAACAACCTACACATGAATACATAAGCTATGGGCAGGACATGAAATTTGTCAAAGAAAAGGTGATCTAACAAGTTCAACAAACCTTGCTGGAAGCATCTGCACTCTCGGGCATTGTAACTAACCGACATTGGATAGCATCCGAAATTTCAGATAGCTGCCATGGTTTAGTTCTATCTATCACATCTTCCATGGTTCTAGGCTTCTCCAAACTCAGTCCCATAGGGTCAACTCCATTCTAAATTGATAAAGTCAAAATAAGTTAAGACTTTGCTAACAAGTATTAAGATGAAGCACCTCAATCACACAAATATTACAGAATTCGGGAATCCAAAAGACGGTACTCCTTGCTAGGGAAATGCAGAAGGTTATTAAGGTTTTTATAACATAGGAGAAAAAGATCATGTCAGTTTCATGTTCTTGCACAGTGAATCTACAAAAATGAAATATCAAATCCACGTATTTATATATTTGCTGGGTCTTATCATTAGACTATGGCATCATCATAATCACTGTGCCAACATCATAATCAATTCATGCAAATTTAGGCAGGCCAACTTCATACAAGGATTGGAGATGGCCTGACAGGCGAGTTCCTCTCCACTTTACAGTTGACAGGACTGACATTTACAGCAGGGGAGCCAGAAACCTAGATAATGGAAACAAAGTGGGCAATATATATAAATAATTGGACCTAAATATAAATTTTCAGAATGAAGAAAAAGTGGGGGAAAGCATTAGCCCACCTTATTTGCAGTTGATTCCATCGGAGATCTCAATGCTTCAAATGCTGGAGTTTCCACTGCCCTTAAGGATCTCAGACCAATAGCATTTGCCAGTACCTTGATTCCATTGTCCGCAGTAGTAACAGCAAGAAGATTTCCTTCCTTATTAAATCTCAAACGTGGCAGGCTCTGAATACATAGGTGCAATAAAATAAGGGTATCTTCAGAAAGTGTAGTTCTATTTGGGAAAGATTAAAACAGTTAAAAGCCGGATATTGACCTGCAGTCCACCCTCTGCATCAGTGCTTGTGAGAACACTAACAATGTCCATATCCCAGAACCTTATCTGGCCATCTTCACCTGCAGCCAAAAAGCGATTTTGGGTTGTGTCAAACTGCACAACCCCATTTGATTTCTTTCTGAACCCACTATACGTCCTCTTAATGGCTCCTTCACTTTCATTCCATTCAACTAGGAAAGATTCTCCATTTTTACTTGTTCCACAGGAAAACAATCTAGAGAAATGGGGGAAATTTTAGACGTTAGTTAGTATTATGTCATGGGAAAAAATGCCAATAACCAGGGAATGCAAAACTTATGGAAACATGCATCCCTATCTGTTTCCAACTTACCTACTTCCATCAGCACTGTAAAGCATTGTGGTGCAGCAGTGACCTGGAGCATCATAGTCAACTCTGGAACCCATGTGATCATACAACCAGGCCTTTATTTTTCCATCAACAGCAGTTGAAAATATAAACTGCAAAGTCAAAAACAGTTAACTTTAATGCCGAGGAAACCACAATTGACTTGAAAAGGCTGGCAGTGCTGATTCCACGCATAGCACATGTAACCAGTTAGCTCATGGGATATTATTTTCCAAGAAAAGAAAACAGGAGAGATTAGAGAATTGAAATGAAGACAATGCATCTGGGCTAGGGTCATGGACAAGCGGTACTTGATGTGAAATTCTGCAGTAGCAATACCATGGTCATATTCCACCATAAATATTCCAATACAGGATAAAATGTGGGATACAAAATTTCATTACTGACTGGTTTGTGTATAAATTAGGGACTAGAAAAGAATATAAGACAGACGTCAACCATAATGTGCATACGTGTGTGATCCAACAACAGTGATCCAGTGGCATTGTGTATTCTGCTGCCTATGAAATGATATAGTTAAGAAAGAAACCATCAAATAAGTTTGCTCTCCATGACATGGTATGAGAAATTTTTAGTCATTAAACATAAGTAATCTGGAAGAAATGTTGTCTCGAAACTGAGTTATAGTGAAGGCCATGCAGATCAGAGCCTCAAACTTGACATGCCATGGACAAACGTGCAATTTGATGCCTGCTATAAGTTACTCAACTAAGCCAGTTAAGAGGCAGAAGTGCCTGAAAATAACAGGTTTCATAGTCATACAAATGATTTATTCTTTGTACCTGAATGTTCTCTTTGTGATGAGGACAGATGGAATAGACAGGTGCTTCATGCCCCTCAAAGTTGAATAGTTTTCGTCCATTTAACTCCCACACCTATCAAAAAGTTCTTCTTTAGAGAAAGTAGATGGATATTTGCAGCATTAAAAACAGCAATGAATATTCTGTCAGCACCTTTATCATCTTATCATCACCACAGGTCAGAATACATAGTTGTTTATTTGGATGAGCAAATGCCAAATCATTCACGCCACCAGTATGGGCATCAATCTGCATTAAAACAAAGTGTAACTTAAGCTGCACTATGAAATTTTGATAGTTTAGGATTTTGAATACAAAAGCTCACCTCCAATCGTTGGCTCAGCTCATTTGACCCAGTATAAGCATACAAGTGAACCAAATGTTTGCTAAATGCAACACCTGCAGCAAGAAATCAATTAGATATTCACTCCGGCTCAAAAATGTCTTTAGAAAGGGCCAAGCCACATACCAACATAATTTCCATCTGGGCTCCACATAACACGGCTGACGGAAATTGGTGCTTCTTTGGCAGCAGCTGCCTGCAAAAAACCGCAACTTTTAAATCTTTAATCACTAAAACAACTAGCATAATTTAAAATATTGACCTTGTTAACTTAAGCTAGAGCTTTTTTTTTTTTTTTTGGTTCATATTGTATACATCATTTAAACTGTCCAACTAGGAGTCCTGTAAAAGTAAGGACCATTTCAAGGAATGGGGAAAAATATTACATCATTTGAGAAATGAAACAAACCTGAAAAGGCAATGAGCATGCAGATAGATCCCATATCTTGAATGGCTTTGAAACCAACCTCTCCCGTAACCCAAGTTCCCATAGGGCAATTTCACCATTAGTAGAACCAACTGCATAATGGATAATATTTATCAATAGAAGAAGCTATGTCAAAATTCTATGAATATTTAAGTAATGAAAAATTTTCATAAGTAAAACCATCATAGGCAATACCAAGAAGCAATGTCTGGTGTGAAGGATGAAAGTCCATGCTGTTAACTGAGGATCCTTGATGCAGTGTCATTGCCACTGTTCTTGGTAGATCATCCAGTGACCAAGAAGCTTGTCGAGCAGTAGGATAGGAAACCTGAACAATATAAGTGAATCATCAGAACGTGAACAGAAATTACAAAGTCAGGAAGCCCTGTGCAGCCTAGTAGCAGAACAACGTGTGGCATCATGAGATTATCCTATGTATAACAAATCAAAAAGAAAGTCATTGAAATTACCTCCTCTACAGAATGAACAGGCCGAAGCCTTTTCATTAACTGCTCGTGATCGGGATTCTGATAATCAACCATGCCAGGGGCTGCCGGAGGTGTTCTTGGACGTTTCAAGATGGGTACTGTTTCAAGAAAGAGTCGGGAAGTGTTTAATACCCTCTTGTAATGTGAAATTATTAAACAAAAGAATATATTTTAAAGTGTTAGGACATATCGACCTTGCCACTTAGCATAGTAAATGCCACTGTAATAGCAACAACATGAGTTAAATCTTCTCCTTTTTTTGGATTTTTTTTTTGGGGGGGGGGGGGGCTTTAGAATGCATACAAAAGAAGGATTTACCACTTATATATTAAATTGGATCCTCTCCATACGGTAATATCAAGTTTTCTCTCAAATTATATCTCAACCATCAAGTTCATCTTATTGTAGTCTAGGAATTTGGAATTACATAACTGAACTTAACCCTTTCAAAATGATATGTACCGTCTTAAATGAAACGGTGCGTTTTGATTTAGAAGAACACCGTCTCTAATCTAGACTGCAAGATAAATTTTGATAGCCGAAATGAAAGCTGGAGAGAAAACTAGATATTATGGTTAGAGAGAATCCTAATCGGGTAAACATACTCGCATTTACTCTGGATTTCCTCTTAATATCATACAAACAGTATTTCCAAAATATCTTAGCGCACAAAAAGCCTATAATCTCAACCATAGACACTTGCTTTTACCTCTTCTACAATTTCTTATGGAAAACATAGCACATCTGATGATAGAAGTGGAAATAGCTGCTTACAGTACCTAATAAAGGTTAATTAATAGTAACGACCTTGCATGCACAATGCTAGAATGTGATATTGAAAGTTATGGACATTCTTTGTTTGCATATCAGTTACAAAATAAAGATGATTTTTAGAAAGAATAACTCTAGAACCCTGAGCTCTTGTTATATGATAAAACTAACATAATTTATTTTCCCATTTGCAAGTTGTTTTGGAAACAAAAAAAAAAAAAAATCAAAGCATGCTCTTAACTAAACTACATTACTCTTTTACTGAAAAGCAAGACTAATTTAATTAAGGACACGACCATTAAACTAATGAGGTAATACCTTCATCAACTCAAACCGGTCCAATTTCGATAGCCATTTTTCAAAACCTTTTGGAATCCTGAATTGGAATATCAGAAAAGTTTGTTGGGTGGCACTGCTTCTTTTAAATACATGTATAGTTCAAAATGGCTGCCATAAAGCTTATTCTAGCCTAGATGCCATTAGGGCCTCAACCCATAGGTGTACCACAGAAGGACCCGGCCTAGTAGATTTCACCCAAGGCCCACTTGACAAAACAATCAGTTACAGGGGGAAATGCAAGAGCAGAACAGAATTGACTGGAGACAACTTGACTTCTTCTATGATTTGGCTACGGAATTTCTGTGCATGCTGCTAAGTTGGAGAATAGTTTTTTAACAAGTACCAACATTAGGGATGAATTAACACTGAGATTTACCTATTTTCACCAAACCAAAGAGAGTAACATGTCACAAAAATAATAAAGTAGCAATGTTTTTCATCAACCCAATGTCACTGGGGGTCAAATTGGCACTATCCCCAGCTATAATACTTTGAGTAATATCGATATAGTTCCATTGATATGTTATCTTTAACCTTGATTCTGGGCAACAGGCATGGATGAGGCAGTAACAACTGCTGCTTGGACAGATGATGAAGCAGAAGCATTGGCCATCCAACCAGCTATAGAATTAGCAGAAGCTGCAGCAGGTGGGAAGGACTGCAGCAAATAAATAAGGACCAAAAAATAATTAGGCATTATGGTGAGCACTATTGAAACACATGCAAATGTAAAATAATGTTCAAGATTCATGAGATCATACACCATGAGCACTAAGTGATGTGTAAACAGCGGGCTTTGCAACTGCAGCGACTGGAAGATTGACAGGTGTGGGTGTTAGAGGACCATTAGGAGGTGAACATGTGTGATCTGTAAATAAAGTCTTAATATCCGGGTTTGCCCTTGGATTTTTGCAAAGCTGGTGCTGCCAGTTCAAACTGCATTCATTGATAAGGGCAAAAAAGGAATTGAGAAGAGAAATTGAAAGTAATAAAAAGCTAAATTACCAAATCAATATACAAGAATACATTAACTAAAAAAATGTTTCATCCGTCAAAAGGGATTCTACTGTTAATCCAACAAACAAAGCATCTACCTTTGATTGATTAATGTCCTCAATCTCGATGATTTAAGAGTAGGGAAGAGAAGCTTATCACGAAATAGAGGATTTGCTTCTATCAATTTTTTCAGCTCTATCAACATAATGCTTCGAGCTGTTTTAGTGTCACCATACTTGGCCAGCTGATCATTCTCCCTGGTATTTTAAAAAACCAGGAAACGTGAGAAGTTAAGAGATTGTATGCTTAAATAATTAAGTAGACCTATCTGAAAACAACCCCCCCCCCCGGTTCATTCTTAAATCTCAGTATTGGAATTCCCTGTTTCTCATAAAAGAAAGAAATATGAGTACGGTTAGTAATAAAGGTTCTGAATTGAAATGACTGCCAATGCTGCAGAAGAAAAGTCATATTCCCATTTATTCTTAAATCTCACCATTTCACAAAAGAAAGAGGGATGACAATGTCAATGACTGAGATTAAAGGTTCTACAACTTAATAAGATACCACACAATTCAAAACGTAACCCAGAAGCAGGGCGCCCTGTTTAATTTCAATTTGTAAGGAGCAAATCATAAACTAGACAACGCAGCAAAATCCTGGCAACTTCTGAATTGCCAGTTGCTATAAGCATGACCAATTTTCCACCAGACTAAAAGTCTGGTGCAAAAATAAGGTAGTAATGATTGTCTGTGCACTGGGGCTCACATTTAAAAATTTACAATAGTCAATTTTGCTTTTAAATTCCATTCTCGAAATGAGCACTTAATGCTTTTGAATAATTAATTTAGAGAGAATTAAAAAGTTGAATAATTAATTTATGACATGCTCCCTACATCTTTATGAAACTCACAGAAATGAAACTCGAATTATGACTTTGCCTATTACATTACTTAAGCTCAATAAGCAAGTTACTCTATTGAGTAGAGCTCTTCTCAAGACTAAGAACATTAACATAATAATCATTTTATTTTTTTGGCATTACCTCATTGATGAAATGATGAAATATATAATGAAATTGGCAATAGACAACATATACAAGCATGGCACGATAAAAAAAAAGTACATTATTCAAGATATTACCTGAAATTATTAAGAGTTAACAGCTGGGTAATTTCTTTATACAGATCCTCATTGAAAGTGGAGAACACCTTTAAATCACTTACTAATATCTCAACAGCCTTTGCCTTGTCTTGCCTGAAATTTTAAACACACGGTCGACAACAGAACACTTGAAATTTTACAGTATGGATAGATACTGTGCCAAAACTCAACAAACACACAATAATTGATACCTATCAAGCGCTTCCAGATATTTTTGTTTTCTGATTTCAAAGAAAATCTTCATAGAGTATCGATTATCATCAACTTTAGTAAACCCTGACAAGTACTTCTCAACCTCTTCCCATTCTCCAGCCTGGACTTTTTCCTCAAAGTACTTCATGTTGAAGAAAAACCCAGACTCCTTCTCAAGCCTGCAGCAATTTTAAAAAAAAAATTGTAAGAGGAAAATGACCAATCCTTGGGATACCAAAGAAAAAAATTTATAGGGAACACACCATAGAACAAACGAAGAAGGTTCGGCACAAAAGAGAGAGGGAATCTTCAATTTATTTTTATAATTTACAAATGTTCTCAAATCTATCACACAAATTTCCCAGAAAGAGGCAGAGGGAAACAAAAGTAAGGGGCTTACTTGTGCACAGACTCTTTGAACTTCTCCTCCTCCAGAAATTGGAGAATGAGGAACACCAATTCTCTGCTTAGAGAAGACATAGCGACCGCTCAAATCTAAAAACACAACGATAATTTGGATATTCAATCACAAATACACGACAGGTCGAGCCAAAAGAGCAGAGGCTTCGGATTCCATGAAGCAGAGACAAGTCAGGAAGCGTACATCCAGACTCAGCACGACTCAACTCTAAATCTAAACTCACACGTACTCCTCAAACTGAAGATCCTCGAGAATTTAGCTTGTTCAAATTATACAGGCCCGAAATTTGAGAATTTCTAGGGTTTGAAAGGCTGCGGATAAGAAGAAGAGAGAAACTCGGCCTCGCTATCTTCGATGCGTTGTACAGGGGTCTCGCTTTTTCTACTGACCTATCAGACATAAGTCCCATGACTTATGTGATAGGCATTGGAACTTATCATGGTAAGCTATCATTGCGTGAGCGATAAGAGAAGTAGAAAGCGAGTTGCGGAATCAAAACCACAAATTCAAATCTAGTGAATATTCGCTACACGCGTCCAGCGGACCTTCCTTTTGTACCGTCGCTTTCCCTTTTGAGTCCCCATTTCATGAACTCGCCGCCCATATTCTCGCGATAATATCGGGGTCTCGTCTTTCGAAGGGTGACCCTACGCGCGGCCAGAATTTCCTCCCGGGGCCTACATCTTTTTATGGGTTTCTTCACTCTCCTGTCCCTGGCGACCCCTATCTTTGTCAGGAAGGCGCTACTAAAGATTGTTCCGGGTCCAGGCCAATCAATGATTTTAGTCAACATCATACTTGACTTCAGTAGTAACATATTTAAATTTAATTTTATAAATAAAATATATTCTTCCTTTCTTTAGTGGATAAAATATGTGAAATCGCAAAAACATAATATTTTTATAAATTTTAATACTTTGACAATTTGAAAATAAAAAATAACTTACAATGAACAATAAATTTTGAGGAGGAGCAAGAGCATTCATTAACTAGGTGAGACTGAGAATTGAGGGGATATAAGATTACCCATTCGGGGTGGGGCCCATAGACATCGTCAGCAAATGTACGGTCCGTCGCTTTCAGAGAGCGCCAAAAATGAGTTCACGTCCACTCAGAAAAACAAATGACTTCACGCGCCCAGAACGTGATGGTACGCACAATATTCATCAGTCTGACAAGCGAGAGAGAAAAAGTTAGTTGCCATTATTTGTTTATCGCGAATTTTCGTATATCAGGTAAGTTATCGTGCGTAACTGAGAAATGGTTTGTCGCCACATGGGCATTTTTTGTGCTTACTTTCCACCCAATTAT